CCTCCCTCAGCCATCTCAAGCAAACCCTTATACAGGACCCTAGGATCACCTCAGCAGAATCTGTGCCATCAGTACAAGTCTCTTGTACAATCATAAGAAAGAACAGATGAGGGATGAGACTGAACGCAGATTTCCAACTTATTATGCAGTTGGGCATTTTAGACTCTTGTAGCCCTTAGACAGCTGCAAGGTCCCAGTTTTCACACACAATCAGAGAAGATCAAAAGCTGCTGCTACCCTGAACTGTTTTGCAGAGTTGCCAGGACGTCAGCTGTGCCAGGACCAGTAAACTCTCCTGGCTAATGTTAGGCATTTCACTTTCCACAATTATTTACTGATATCGATGCCTTCTGCCAGCCCTGCTGCCAGTTCAATTGATTAAAAAAATCAAGTTGGGTTGAATTTCTTTCCTTGTTCCTCATTTTGCATCCAGAGCTGCAAGAAATTCTAAGAAGCTGACTCCATCGCTAGAGCAGGACCCTAGTTCAGGATTCATTCCTTGTTTCCCACCAGTAGTCATTTTCTTCTTCCACATGACCCTCACCACACTAAGGAGCTGATTCTGTATTACACCTTACATTTAAACACATTCCAGCTGGTGTTACCCATAGGGACATCACTTACATGAGTGCATAAGGTGTCCAGCATAATGTCTGGGATGGCTGGTATGTTTCTCACTGTTGTCAGAAGTTGATTGTAAAGCCTCAGGCTCTTTTGCAAAGTCCTTATCTGGCTTCACACATTGTTGCAATAATAAAACAGCAAAAATCTTATTCCCATAATTGTAGCTTTATTAGTGAATCACAAAATAAATATTTTCTCTGCAGCAGCCTGTGTGTTGTATTCCAGTTCAATAAGAAATCATAAGAAAATACCAGAACTCTAATGATATTCTTCCCTTTTCACAGTGAAGAAGGGAAAATCTCTCCCTAAATAACCACTTGTAGTTACAAAGCCTCCTGGGATACTGAGATAGAAATATTACGATGCACTTGTAGGAACTGTGACAGATTGAGGCTGAACTGCTGTATGATTTTAGCATCAGCTCTCTGTCGCTGAGCTGCTTCAAGGCCCTGCCAGAGCAGGATTGCAGTTTAAAAAATCCAACCACCACCAAAATCTCTCTCAAAATTGCAAGATCAGAATTTTACTGTGCCACTGAAAAAAAAGTGCCATTAAACCAGGTATTTTGGGGCCCAGTCATTCACATGCAAGAAATCAACCTTGTGGGGGTCTAATATTAAAGAGGAAAAGGGTAAAAAGGACCATGATATAAATTAATCTAAGATTACACCTTAGAGTCAGAATACACTGGATTCAAATATTCCAATTGTCAACCTCAAAGCCATCTCAAAACCTGAGAACTAAGGCCAAAAGTAAATACGAGCATCATCTTGAATCTGAATGACGACATGTGCTTATCCCACTCATCATTCTAACAAATCCTGCTAGATCAAACACATGATATTTGTAGGTTAGCTCGAACTAGACATCCGTACAGCTCTACAAGCTTATTTGATCAGAGAAGCAAGAGCACCAGACCAAGCATGAATTACACAGGTCATACTGACCCAGGTAACCTGCTCAGACAGAGAAGAACAGGGAGGCCCTAGGTATGGGCAAAACAGGGCCAGTAACTGCTCACCTCCAAATTCCAAGCCTGTAATCAAATGCATTTTTAATTCACCCTTGAATACTGCAACCCACCTACTTAAATAGTTAAAGAGATTATTACGAGCTATTCTGCACAGAAACATCTTGGTGTTCTAGTAGTGTTTTAATTTCTAGTTGAACTCCATTTTCTGATCTATCATAAGAACAGTAAATGTTGCTTGAAGTGGTTTTTTTAAGGAGGTACTTAAGCCACAATCTCAACTACACAAAAACAAAGGCTGTTTAAAAAATTACTGTAGAAAAAGTTTCTTCAATAAGCTTTCAGGGTTTTTTTCTCCCTCAGAGTATGTTAAAAGAAACAAATATAAGCTTAATCTCTAAATTCCTCAAAACAACTATACTCACGTTTAGGAGCTTCATATGACAATAAAGTATATTTTAAAAAACAGTTATTCAACCTTGTCCTAAATGCACAGCCACAAAAACCTTTAGATCATTCAGCCCCTCTATCTCAGAAGAAAAAACTTCAAAGCTTAACCAATACATAAATATTTTAAAAAACCCTGAAAACAAAATAAAACAATTTTGCTGGTAACTTTCTAACGTTGTTAAGTGACTTTCCTAGTCAAAATCTTATTTAATAACCTATTTAAGCGATCCTTAAATGTGTGATACATTCTCGTAGCAATCTCTAAAAACCCTCCAAAACGTAAAACTCATAATTTATAAACAATTATTTTTACTTAAAAAAACCCAACCACAACCAACCAAAAGAAACTCAGCCTTTCCCCAGCTCATTTAAGTATTTCCAGCTTGATTGGCTCATGGCAATCAGAGCGCAGGAGGGAAAGGATTTGGGCTATAAAAGCTCAAAGTGGGTGCTTTCTTATGTAAATGATTTCTTTTCTGGGGAAGTTGATAAGGGGTTGGAAGAGAAGGCTTCTGATGTTATTTCAAAGTGAGCTGTTGTATTAACTTTGTAGTTTTATGTAGAATGAATTCAAGGTGAGTATGTGGAAGGGATTTTAGGTTTTCTTTATTGTTGTGAAATAACAGAAAATGAATTAAGTGCTAGCTTTTGTAGTGGTTTAATTTTTTGTCTTTATTTGATTAACAGAAGTTCTTAAACAGCTCTATCTTTCTTCATTAACAGAAGTTCTTAAACAGCTCTATCTTTCACTCAATACACCGTGACTAAGCAGTTTCATATTAGATATTAGTTGCTTAAGAATAAATGTTTCTTAACATGAAAAGCAGGTGAAGTGTAAATGATAATTTCCCAAGCCCACTATCTCACAGCTATGGTAAAGCTGTGTATTGCTTTTTAAATAACTTATAGGTGTCTTTAGTTGTTCTACCTCTGTAAAGGAGTTCTCATCTTTGTAGAAACAAAAGCTATAATCATGTTTTCAGAGTGCTTTTCAAAAAAACTGAATAGCTTTTCTTGTGAATGTGCTCAGACAATGTGAGTATAGAGGGTTTCTCACATGGTAACTACTAAAAACATGCCTGCTGTTCAGCTCTACTGGGAATGCTGTATTTCAGTAAGTTAATTAGTTGTTTCTCTGCTGGAACAGGCCAGTCAGAAGTTTTCCTGCTTTACTGTTTATTAGTTTAAGAGCCAGCTGTGTGGTTTAGTTGGCTCTCAAAAAAGCTAGCTCTATCATTAAGAGTGATGAGATGAGGATTTACACCTGGAAGTGCAGGTTCAAGCAAGTTCTTTGGTCTGTTCATTTCAGTGCTATGCTGAAGCCTTCAAGAAGGTAAAGATGTCTGAAAGTAGAAGCTAAGCGTGTCAAGATGCTAAGAAAGAAACCAACTGATAAATGGTAAGAGTAATAAATTAAGTTTTAAAATACTCTTTTTTGGATAGCAGAGTTTGCTTTTGTCTTAGAGAGTTGATAACAGCCCACATATAAGCTCTGCTCTTACCTTTGCAGTCATATTGGATGGTAAAACCAATTTCTTAACAGCTATGAGAGCATAGGAGGGATAATACATTGCTTGTGCTCCAATTTGTATGATTGGAGTTAAGTTTAACTGACTGTCCCTGTTCTAAATTAGCTCCATTGAAGTGTTTAGGAAGGTGATCAGGTTTCAGAAAACAGATAATTTTCCCTTTTCCTTTAGAAGATTAAGTTCCTTGGTTAACAGGTTTAGGATGTTGCCAGATAGGGACCTGCACAAGCAGTAGGCCCTCATGAAGAGGGACTGCATTCGTGGAGGGCTTGCTGGTACCTCCAGAGCTCAGCTCCTACAGACTGCTTCCAGTGGCAGCAGCCAGTCCTCATTTCATGTAACAATTCCAGGTGCTTGCCTCCACATCTTTGTTTACTGTATTTGACTCTTCTGGTCTTTCACTTTGATAGGGTTGCCCGAAGGCTTCATCAGTGAGAAGGAAGAGATGCCAGCAAGAAGGCCAAAACAGAATAGTAAGAGAAGAAAGACAAAGTACTTTCTGGGGAAATACTTGAGAAAAATGTTGCTGTATCAGTAAGCACCTTTGTCATTCCAACCACGTAGCTGTTTTGTGTTTTTTCTATGTCAAAAGTCTATCCCAAGCTCTGTAAA